GTGCGCGCTGAGGGCGCTGTGAGGAGGCGGTGCCATCCCGGCCCGGCCCGGCCCTGCCCCGCTGTGCGCGCTGAGGGCGCTGTGAGGAGGCGGTGCCATACCCGGTCCGGCCCGGCCCACTCTGCCCTGCCGTGCCCGCTCGGCCCTCGGTGGCCGACATGCCGCGGTACTGCGCCGCCACCCGCTGCAAGAACCGCGGCGGGCAGAGCGCCAGGGACCAGCGCAAGCTCAGCTTCTACCCGTGAGTGGCCGCCGAACCGGGCGGGGTCTGGGGGAGTGCTGGCCGTGGTGGTGGTAGTGAGACAGCGGAAGTAAATGGCAGAAAGACTCAACGCCACGGGGTGGTGGTTGCCCTGTAACCCCGCATGGTCCCGGGAGGCTGGAGGGAAATAATGCTGACCTCCCTGGGGGAAGGGAAGGTGTAGGGAACAGGGATGGACAGCTGAGATGTAATCACATACACTATACTTCGCACAGGACGGACGCAACTTGGTGGAGAAGGCGATGATACGGCAGCGTCCAAGGACTCTGCAATATGTGCGGAGGGTCCTGAAATGAACAGCAAAGAGATTCGACTGAAAAATAAAATTTGCACATCTAACTCTGTTTCGTTGCTGCCTATATGGAAGGGATGTTCCAGCAGGGCAGGCAGTGATGGTGGCTTTGGCTTAAAAGTGAAGTGTCCTGTGTATGGCAGCTTGCATGCCAGGCGGAGGTCCTGGAAGAGTAGGCAAGTAAGCATATATGGGTTCCTTAAAATTAAACTTTTCCTGCTCTGTGAACGGAGGCATTAGTGGTTGGCTGGAAGCAGCTGAGTTAGGTGGAAGCTGACTAGGTCGGTTGCCAAAAATCAGTTTATGGTGGCTGCATTGTGCTGTCTAGACACCGAATGGATCAGCTGCTATCCCAGGCCCGCAGTAACCTCTGGACTGTTGTGGTTACGTGGCTGTAGATTCCCGGGATGGGGAGCTATAAACAGTATTTCACAATCCTGAGAGAAACAAAGTGCAGGTAACTAAATATTAATGTATTTGTGTAGAATAATAGTAATGGAACTGTTTGTCAACAGCAGCAATTTAATAAAAATTTGACAAATAAATTTCACAATTGCCCTCAAAATCTGTTTTGGTAAAATTTATACTTCAAACTAAGTTTTGTTTCAGTTTCTGAATAGTCATAGTCCAAGATCAGGAGGGCAGTGTAGGAAGACCCACCGGAAGACTGCTTTGAAAGGAATTTTAATTTAGATTGCAGGAAAGCTTATTTTCCTGGCACATTTCTAATATGCATCATAAAATAATCAAAAATAATTTCTTTCCCTTTAGGCTTTAGAGAATGTGAGTACCACATGGATAATCAAACAAGTTTGAGCTCTGAAACTTGTTTAAAATATATGGCACCAGTATGGAGATGATTGCAAAAACATAGCTGTTTTATCTAGCCTTTGAGTTGTGCTGCATTCCGAATTTCATGCTCCTGTAGAAGGGACACTGGGATTTGATTTATAGATTTCTCTTGCCCTATATTAGCAACTACGACTGACATCAATTACAAGTTTTATTTCCTTGCCACTTACCACCACTGAAGAAGTCCTATGCTGCTCTATGGTTGGAGTCTGAGCCCCTTCCAAACCTTTTGTCACCTAATCTCAACTGCCCTAACTACCCTTCTTAGTTTTATTTCTTCACTTCTCTGACTTGTGCAGTCATGGCAGCTGCTAAATAAATTCTGTCCACTTCCTCCTTCCGTTTCCCCTGTTTTTGTATCTTGTTTACACCAGAGAGGATTCTGTTGATGAGTAAGGGGGTATTGAAACATGAGCAGGTTTGAGCAAAATTGCCCTTAAGATAAAATAATAATTTTCACTATCAGACCTGTCTCTTGCTGCAGATTGTTTTGTTTTCCACTTGAAGCTGGCTGAGTGGGGAGAGCAGTGTGTCCTGTGTCGTGAGGGTAACTGCAGTGGGAGCAAATTTTCTCAAGGCCTTCTTGGAGAGGGTGTGATTGGTGACATGACCTTTAGTTGAAGGAAGCCATCCTCTTACTGAGAGACTTCTCCAGATTTCTGTAGTAATATCCAGGCCAAGCTTTGTTACTCAAGGAGCGTGTTCTGCCATACATTCTATGCTGGACCCAGGTTTACGTGATCTAAGCAGACAGGACTTGAAAAACCTGAACCTCTAACCTCTCTGTCCTTCAGAGGTTATTGTATTCTCACCAGCATTATTCCTTGCATTCCTGCAGATACTCAGAGCTGGATGCATCAAAAGATTGCTCTGTTTCCTTGGTGATTTGAAGACTTAGATGGCAACAAATGCAAAAGATTGGAGAAGGGGTTCAGCAACACCTTTATGCTGTGATTTTCAGCCATCTTTCTCTCAAAATCACCTGAGTTTGCAGTTTTGGAACACAGGGCCTGCGTAAGAGTCATTGCTGTGTGTGGCTATTGGAGGAAACCTGCAACTTCAGGGATTTTAGGGTGGGATCACAAAAGCAGAGATTTTATTTTTAAATATTTGGTTTTTTTGTAATTATTATTGCTCGTGATTCTTAGGAATCATTTAACAACGCTCAGAACTCAACTTACAGTTTAAGTATCATATGTGGTTACATGCTAGAATTAAAATAAAATTGATAGGCATGAGAGAAATATGGAAGTACATTGCAAATAACCCTGATACCTGTCTGAGAAGAGGTGAGAGACCAGAGTGGCTTGAATGTTTATGTTCCTGTTACCACCATTGCTTGAGAGTGTACGCATCACAATGAGCCTTTAATTTCCCTTTAATTTAGTTCTCTTTCCGATGTAGTTTGCCTGATCATTTGCATGTATTTTCAAAATCAGTGGTGGTTTTTTTTTCTGTGAAGGTGTATACTCRTCATTTTTCTTTCCATGTAGGTTAGATAATTGAAAAGTTAATTCTGAATTATAAAATGCGATGTGGACTCCTAATGCTTTGAGAAAGCTTAATGCTGAAACACAAAATCAGAAATGCTTTGCATCTGTATGTATTTACTTCTTGAACACAATTTAAATCCTGTATTTGAAATACTCACTTTGCTAAATTATCTGATAATCCAAAGAGGGGCATGTATTAGGAGGTATCTTGTTAAACAGAAAATACAAGTTGTGTTAAAAAAGACAAATAAGGCCTAGAAATACTATTAATAAAATGAGGGCCAGTCTTAACTTTTTTTAAATTATTTCTGAGTATTTCATGTCCCATCAGCAGAACTGCTTTCTGAGCAAGTGTTGTAGGGTCAAACCTTTCAAAATGTCTTGGGCATCAATTCTGGAATCCTTGGCTAGTCGAAATCAGAAAATCTGCTTCTGAACTCCAGAGCAAATACCCAACTAGAAATATTTTTGGTAATTATTGAATTAACATGTACATGGCATCCAGATTAGCATTTAATTTAAAATTTTTGAAAAAATATTATCTTGTGTAAGGGTAGGCTACTGTGTAACTAAAAATGTGATATTTAAAACACAAAAAACAACAATAACAAGGGTTTTTTGTATGTGTTCTTGTTTGTCTTTTCAACTACCTCAAAAAGATTTCCACTTCATGATAAAGAGAGACTTGAGAAATGGTTACGGAATATGAAGCGAGATTCATGGACCCCAAGTAAGCACCAGCTCCTCTGCAGTGATCATTTTACCCCTGATTCCCTGGATGTGCGATGGGGGATACGATACCTGAAACATACTGCTGTGCCAACTATTTTCTCTTCCCCAGATGAAGAGGTAATCCATTTCTGTGGGGTTTTTTTTTGTTTTGTTTTGTAGTAGAAAGCTATTAATTAACTATTAATGCAATACAGATTTTCTAATTATCTGTAATATAATAATATTTCATTTAGATAAAGAGTTCCTGTCTATCAGAGCAGTTTGTTAGCAGGGCTAACATGAAACAGATATGATTCCATAATGTAAAAGAAGAATAAATTCCCCTACTTTAAATGGAGGTTTAATGTCTTTCCTGTCCGTAACCTTTAACCTAAAAGCTCAGGACTGTAGGCTGCCAAAAATATCCTATAAAGACTATTCCATCTTGTCTTTCACACATGTGACAAGTAATCTTGATAAATCTCTCAAATACAAAAGCAGAAAATGTTGCAAGTTGTAGCAGTGGTAACTTAGCAAGAAATATCTCTCCTTTAACTCCTTCTGCCCTGGTTCAATATATCCCTCAAATTCCTGTGCTGCTATTGTAACAGGGAGCTTTAGCTTTGCAACTAGACTTTGTTGCCCCATGCTTCTGTGCTATTACAAATAAGATGGGTGTTTTGACCCCAAATAAAAGTTGTCTTTTACCCACTAATTCATTCTGTCTTGATTTGCGTGTGACCATCGAGCAGTCATAGTACACCTGCAAAGGTGGACATTAGAGTTACAAAGGTAACAAGCTTTATGCAGTTACATTGCCAAGAGTATTCCAATGGCTTCGCTAAATTATTTTGGCATCAGCAATATATTTCTGAGAAATCCAAGATAGATCTATCCTGTTCAGAAAAAAAAATATCCTACGCTTATTTTTAATGTATCCATCATTTTCCTGGTATCAAAAGAGATGCCAGTGCTTTGCATCTGTGGTACTGTGAACTTGCTTTCCTGGGGTCTCACTTCTCTCCTAGCATTACTTTCTTTTCACTGCACTTTTCTAAGCATCAAGTTATACCCTTTTAGTGACCAGCTCAGCAAATCAACAATATTTTTTTACTTGATCTCTGGTTCTCTCACTTGCCCCAAACCTTAACTTTCTACATAGACTGAGTATTCCTACTTTGGGAAGGAATTCCTGGTTAGTGTGTTCCTGACTTAATGTAGAGGAATGAGAAGCTGAGGCCCTAAGCTGCCTTTGGGAACAGAGCAAAGAATTGCAGTATTTGCATATTGCTCACCACCACTTTGCTTTATGTATTACTGAGCAAATGGGGGATGTCTCCAGAAATGCTTAAAGATTCTTCATAAAACATTTCATTCCATTTCTTCTTCTAAATGAACAATGTTTGTGGCTCAAGAGCAGTGTTAGTCACCCGCATTTCAGTGTCAGTAACCATTCTGCATTAGCTTGCAAAGGTTTTTATTTGAAAATTGACCTAAGAGTGTGAGGGCAGGGACTGACAGATAAGGAGGCTTTTCAGTGGAAGTAAGGGTCTGCCTTCAAACAATTATCCTGAGACTTGTTTTGCTGCATTTCTTTTAACCTTAATGGTAATTCTAATAAGTGAGAGTTTGGGGTACATTTACCTAATCTATTTTGTAAGAGATTTGTCTAGTTAAAATATATAGTGTGAGAAAGTCTTTTTCAGCTGGTGATAGAACAAAGAAAGGGAAATGCTTCATTTTCACAAAACCCCAAAGATTGACATGATGATAAGTATCATCTTTGAAAAAGTAAAGGTAACCAAATAAATGCTATTTCTGTATCAATTTTCGAGTCCTTTTAAGACTGAAGTTTCATATAAAACGGAATCATTATGTTTAATATACATAGGATACTCCAGATTACATACGTACTTTAAAGAACATACTCTGAAATAACCATTTTCATTGTAATAAGTTTTTGTAGCCTGGTCTCTTCTTTGGGTTTTTTGTTTCTATGGTTGATTGGTTTTGTGAGGGTTTTTGTTTTGTTTGTTTTTGTTATTCTGTTTTGTTTGTGGGTTTTGGTTTGTTTTTTTTTTTTGTTGTTGGGTTGTTTTGTTGGGGTTCTTCGTTTGGTTTTGATTTTTTTTGTTTTCATGGTTTTTTGCTGATTGGTTTGGTTGGTTTTTTTGCCTGGCCTGTGTTTAATTAGTAATGTTGGAATTGCTTCTTTTTCTGTTTCTTTGCTCAGGGTAGTTTTTGTTTTATCTTTTAGTTCCTAGGCTAAACATGTACACAGTTTTACATGAGTACAAATTCTTCAGATTGGTCTTTTCATAATCAGGTCTACTAGAAAAAAACAAGACACCCACTATTTTTTTTGTTTCACTGAGAGACATACCTAATCTCAATCTCATTTKTATATTGATCTTAAATGTAATCATGTGGTGATGTAGCTTAGGTGGAGGAAGGGAAAAGAAAGTAGATAAAAAAAGATAAGCTTCAAGTTGTCTCTTCAGTATTAACTTGTGTTTAAAGTCCTGTTAACATTGTATTTTTTTATTAAGATTTCTGTCTATCGCAAAAAAATCTCAGTTTTTATAAATTGTGATGTTTAGTTGTCAGAATTGAACTGCTTGTTTACAGTCATCTTTAATGTAAGAAGTTTGTACTGTGTACCTTTAACATACATGTATTTAATACAATGTCTCAGGTTGTAATAGAAGATGCTAGCTAGTCTTTGTGTAGCCACTTCTCTTCAAGTGCATTTAAAATTTCTGCGTCTTGTATAAAACAGTCCAAGTTCCCTAGAGTTTGAAAAAAAGCCACAACAAAACAAAAACCCCAAACCACAATAATAAAGGAAAAAAACAAACTATAAAACCAAACACTGTTATTGCCTTTAGAGCTTTAAGATATTATCTTAACACTTAGGAACTAAAGCAAAGTTATGGAAGATGCTTGCATAAATTCTTGGGCCTCTGATGTAATTTTTAAATAGGGCTCATCAAAGTTAGTCCTTATGCAGTACCATGCCATAGAATGAGATTTGCCTAATTTTTTTATGCTCAGTGATTTTCTTGTCACAAGGTGGTGATTTTCTTGTTTTTAATTCTTTTTTCTCCTCCAGGAAAAAGATTCTTCTCAGAACAGTCCACAACAGGTACAGAAAGACGATCAGGAAAAAACAAATGTAGTATCAGAGAATGCAACTGTACCACTTGAATCTTGTACACCAAAGAAAAATCCTGTAATTGCACAAAATGTAGAGGAAAAAGCAGAAGTAGTTTGCCCAACTGTATTGAGTAAACCTTTACAAATTCAAAACCTACAACTCCAAAATGAAGCTGGCTTTCAGGCAGACAGTGTCATTGTTGATAGTTCATCTGAGCAGTATGTGCATCAGCCTAATACTGTTTTAATGGCAGCAGCAGTCCAGAGCATGGAAGCTCCCAGTGTTCATACTTCCGTGGAGAATCCAGGAGGTTGTACAGCTACAGTCCTGCAATTTACAGACCCTGACTACTTGAATTCATCTCTGAAACTGGACAATGCTTTAGGGTCAGTTACTGACTATGTAGTTGAAAATCCTGTCCCTCATGTGGTCTGTTCTGGTGATGTGCAGACAAGTGAAGATGCAGTTTTACTGAGTACAGTCACACAAACTATTGAGCAGTTCAGTGGAAGTGAAGAGTCTGTCATTGCTATTATTGTGCCAGCTGAGAGTCCAGAAGAGCCTGAAAGAGTAAATACTTCTTTCCTGCCTGCTAAGGAAGAGTTTCTTGACACAGAGGAGAGAGAAGTGATTGAATATGCTGGAAATGAAATACTGCAGACKGAGCATTCATACTGCAGACAAGACATAGACAGAGATCACCTTTGGCAAAAAATTTCAAAACTCCACTCTAAGATAACTTTACTTGAAATGCAGGAGGTAAAAACTTTGGGGAGACTCAGGTCCTTGGAAGCTTTTATTGGACAGCTGAAGCAAGAAAACCTGCTTCCTGAAGAAAAGCTGAAAATGGTAGAAAACTGCTTTACAACACTTGAAGTGACTATGATACAGTAAAGGCTTTCAGTTATGGTTCTGAAATATCTTTTTAGCCTCTTTGGCTGTACTTTTGTACAAATTAACTGTTTTTTCCGTCATGGCATTCTAAACATCTAATATTCTTTAAAATGTTACATCAACCAAAGCTAAGTGGTAGAATCTTTTCTGTAAAACATGACTTGCGGGTAAGATTTAAAAAAACCCTGAATTTGGCAAAGTTTTCTTTAAAAATGGATGTGAATCAAGTCAGTACAAGATAAGGCTTCTCTGAAACACGCAATGCCTGAATTTGGGGCAGCTGTAGAATGGAGAGAATATAGGATGAACAATTTTATATATATATATATGTGTGCATTGTCCAGTGAGGCCACAATTGCTCTATAGTCTTCTGTTCATCTAACATTTGTTCTGATAGTTTTTGTATGCTTTGATCTTATTAAAATTGTTTCTGCAATAAAAGGTGTTTCATTTGGTTCTAGAAATAAAAATTTTCTAAGAATATTATTCCAGTGGACATGCCCATCTCAGTGTTTTGTTTTTATGATTCAGCTCAAGTGGAAAGAATTATCTGAAACACTGATGATTTTGCTAGTTAGTAAAAGGGAAAGTTCTAACTACTCCATGAATGCTGTCTTCATTAGTCCTCTTACAGCCTACAGCTGGGTAATACGTATACCCTTAATAATACACTGAGAAAACAGTGTTCTGCAGCGCAAATTGCTGGTGAAAGTAGCAGAGTTTGTTAGAATTTTACCATGCAAGAAACAGAATTACAAAACTAGAAAATTACTCCTCATTACTGATTTTATTAACTATTTCTAGTGCACGGGTTAGCTCTGTGGTAGACAGATACTATAGTTCAYTTTAAGGGAAATTAATTTGCTTAAATTCTTCCTGCATATTCTGTCAGTGTGTCACCCTTTGGATCTAGTTTGCTGYACACTCCAATGAGAAAGTCCTAGATCATTTGGGCCCTGACTAGACATCATGGCTCCACTAGATGATCCTTGTTGCATCCCTTGCAACATTCATCCCAGCTAAACAATTCTAGTATATTATATTCTACAACAATTAGATTACATGAGGAACTTGGATGTGTTTTTCTTTATTCAAAAGTATGTCATCCCCACCACCACTAGTTMAGTTTGAGACTGGAGAAAACATGTTCCTTTGCAATGTTACGTATATTCTCTTTGACACACTTTCTAAACTGTTCTGATAATGTTTTCACAGGGAATTGAGAGTCAATTAACACTAATTACGAAGCTGGCCTCTGACTGGATAATAAACTGCAAACAAATTTCAGAAAATGTTTGAGACTTCTAGTATCTTGAAGTACAGAAGTTGGGCTGCTAAAGCAGTGCGGTGGGAGGTTGGTCTGTATCACTAACCATTGGCTTAGGTTTGCTTTGTCCTTCACCTCATTAACTTTCAGACTTTAAGCACAGGCCATGCTTGGTGAAATTCCTAAAGGACATAAAGGTCACTTGTAATACAATGAATTATTTACCAGGTCTTAGGGACCCACTCATTTTGCTCTCCCAGGAACAAGGGAACACTCCTGTTCTGCTTTGCGTGCCATGAAATTACAAGGGGTGTCCTGTATCCTGTAGAARCATTGCTGCCATATCTGATCCAGTCCTGTGAACATTGTCCAGGGGGCTTCTCTGAACATTTATGTTATGTTTTACATAGTAAGAGATCTTTCAAAGTGATTTACAAAATGCAATATGAAATTACYAAATGATTTGGCAACTTTAGAAATTTCATTAATGTACTACAAATTCTCTGCTAATGCTGTGTATTTTAAGACTGGCAACCTATTTCAAAAGCCCAGTGTTGGCATTGAATGGCTGTGAATGCTCAGACATTA